CAAAGGCGGTGGGACTCCCTTTTTCAGGGGTAAGGGGCAAAGGCGGTGGGACTCCCTTTTTCAGGGGTAAGGGGCAAAGGCGGTCGGACTCCCTTTCTCAGTGGTAAGGGGCAAAGGCAGGATTGGTGCTGGGTATGACCACTCTACAGCTGAGTGTTGATTTTTCAGGAATCGTCTTTAGACGCTCCACAAAGTGCTTGTTTCTGGACATAAACTGTGCTGTTTTAGCGGCTTAATGGGACTGCTGGGTTCTGACAATGTCCAGGAGTGGATGAAGCAAATTGCTGTAGCCACAGAAACCACTGTGATCGGTATGTCCTAGCTTAAGAAGTTACAACCTCGTTTTAGGCTTTTGTGTTTGTCGATTGAATCTGGCTTAGGAACTTGGGGTAGGTTTATTTTTGCCTCATTCTGTAGGTCTGTTTTCCTGTTTAGGGTCATCTGTGGGCAACTTGTTTCTGTCGCGGAGACTCTTATTGATGGGAAACACATTTGAGCCCTTCTTTTATTTCCAAAAGCAATTATGTCCATGCTCTGAGCTAGCATAACTTAAACTGTTTTGGAAAAATGATGGACAGCATGTTCACCTGGAAAAGATTCTCCTGGCCTTCGTAAGCAGGGAATAGCAGCAGGCTCCAAGCAGTTATCCCTTAGAGCTTAGATGTGATTGGTGTCTGATGTTTTGGAACATGCCCAATGTTCCAGAATGCCCCTAATGTTCTGGAATGCACCCAGCATTCCCATGTGATGTTGTAGAGGTCTCTTCTTAGTACTTCATATGTGTGGATAACTGGTCGCTGTGCTCTTTAATCACCACGCCTACACCATAAAACCTGGAGGTCAAGCATGCAATGTCGTTGTCCCTGGTTCAGCTTAGGCTCCCCTGGAGGGTGGTGGACTCCTTGATTTAGCCTTCATGGTAGTATTCTTACTCAAAGATCCAGAAGAAAACATCTGCAGGCTGTTAATGATACCACTCAGAAGAATGCCATTTTGGGTGTTTCTGGAGGACAGAGGATGGGGGCAGAAACACACAGCCTTTCATGCGTGATATGCAGGCACCACGTTTATCAACAGCATCAAAACGCAAAGTAGCTGGATTCTCCATGATGAGTGTTTCTCTGAATTATTATTTTTTTGATCGCTTGGTGATGAATGTGCTTTGTATTGAGTCGGCACCAGAAAATCAGCAATATGTAGAGAAATGTTGATCCCAACCTTTGATTAAAATCATTGGTTTTACTGGTACTTTTCTGGATTAATTCCTACCGTATGATGACTGCCACTCTTGCCTTTTACTGATAAATCACATTGAAAATGGACAGCTGGATTTATATGTGTTTATTATTAGGAAAGAACTTTTTTTCTCTTTTCCTGGTTGCTGTCTTCCTAACCCTGAGCCCTAGACCTCCTGATGAGAGGTGGGATTTTTGTTTTGTTTTTTTTTGAATGGCAGTGGGTGTGCTGGTGAGCTCAGTGCACAGATGCACTAACAGCTCCACTGCTGCTAGGTTGACAGAGGCAGTCTATTGATGTCTCCTTGTCCCTCACCACCAGTCCAATCCAATTCAGTGTATTTTTATATAGCGCTGTTCAGAGAGCCTGATGAGAAGGAGGAGAGAGCCAAAAACTCCCAAGTAGGGGGAAAGAAAAACCCCTGGGGTTCAACATTACTCACACCTGATTTTCTGATGCCAACTCTGTTTATCCTGACATGAGAGCTTTGTGAAGCAGGCAGCATAGTAATAGCTACATTTTTGAGGTCCAAGTCCCAGTAAAGGATATGCTATTTTGTCCTTGAGTGAAGTAAAAGGCAAATATGGTGAACATGTGAGCTGCATGAATGGTTTCTCATTCATGACTGTGTATTGCCTGTTGTCCTTTGGGGTTGGAAATGTCACTGCTGAGACTGAGAAGCAGTGTGGTAGCAGCCTCCTTGGGTCCTGTTGTTCTGAGGGAAAATGTCTTTGATGGTCTGCAGTAAGGCGGAACGATTTGGGGAAAATAGCTAATCGCGATTTTTCTGACAGACATTGCGATTACGATTTCATTTGCGATATAATTTTTTATACGCCAAGCTTCAGTTCAATATTAAGTGTGTGATAAATTTAAAACATATGACGCAGCATTACCACATGAGATACCGTCAAAATATGAACTGGTCTATATTCTAATGCAAGGATAAGAACTTAAAAATGTGGTGTGTTAAGTTAAATAAAGTAATAATGAATACAATTGTAGCAAAAAGAAAAACAATAGCGATCTTGCAGCAAACAGCTTGGTCCCCTAATAACACTAGAACCGCCTTTTTGCAAACTCACAGGTTTGGGTAACATGCTTTCAAATTCTCACACAAGAAATCTTATGGCAAATCTAAATTATTCCATTATGAACTTAGAATTAGCTGCATCAAAAACTTTAGGGCAGTTTGCAAACCCTAATAATGTAATAAAACTCGTAAATGTATGTGCAGACTCGTCTAAACAGAAAGCCTCACTTCAGGCAGCTGACCAGAGTTGGCAACCCTGCATTTTATTTGAAATTAGCTCGTAAAATGCAGTTTTCGACTGAAGCGCCTTATCATCCCTTTGCCTTGTTGCTCTGACGAATACAAAACGAAGGAGAAAACATTATATGCGTCACTTTTTAATGTCTTTTCTAAATAATAAGACCGTGCCCATACCCAACTGTAATAGCGATTTAAAGCGATCTGTTCTTTTAGTATTTATGTTAAAGCGAGGCTTTTATTTTATTACTGTTGTGGGATTTAGATTAATTTCACAAGATTAATCTATGGAAATCAATACTTAAATCAATGAGCTCAAAAACATATGACATAAACACGACTGTATTATGGGTTCTATGGCTTTTCTGGGGTCACAGACTCCGCTGCTGTGGGGATTACTGACTGTCTCTGTTGTTTTGATGGGTTATGCTAATGCAATTTCCCATTAACAAAAATAAAAAGTGTGATACGCTGAAGTTTGTCGCTGCTGGTGGTTAAAAGGAGGTCATCGGTTTTATTGATGATAGGACCTTTCTGGAACAATCTCGGACCATGAAATAGGAAGGCGATTCACTTTCAGCTCAGTAGCGGAATCAGTATTTTTTCCGCACCGTGAATGCAACATTTTCTTCGGGTTTCATGTGTTTGCTGTTTGTGGGCGTATACTCGGCTCGAACCACTTCTGATTGGTGAGCATGACTGTCGCACAGGGAGCACGTATAATGTATTTCCTAAATCGTAGCCTTTGAGATTTGCTATTTGCGTTGTTTCAAATCGCGATTTCGATTTGAAATCGATAAATCGTTCAGCCCTAGTCTGCAGTTGACAAAAGTAGTCAAAGGGATGTATACTAGCAAACCTGTGTGAGCCTGACTTCAATATAGACAAGCCTATTTCACTATGACAGTATGAGGATGAGAGTGGATGCATTAAAATGGGGTCTCCTATAATCAGACAGATGGTTTCTGATATATCCTTACCACCACCTCATCTATGCCTCTTTTTTAGGAGGGAAAATTGCCTCAAAAATGACAAAATTTAAGAATAGTGAGGGTTCACATGTCTGTAAACTGATTCTGGCTGATCATGGAGCAGGAAGTGAGTAGAGGCTATTCAAAAGCACAGATGTGACATTTTATGTGAGGTCACTTCCTGTGGTATCAGTTCAAGCCTCACTGGATTTTGTCCTGCACTCCCAGGCCTGTTTGCTAAGGGTAACACCTTTTCTGCTCCGTGTCTGGAGTTGTGGGGACGCAGTGTGGGTTGTTGCATTTTGTTGGTCTTGAATTGATGCTTTCTTTGTGAGCGGGATATTACACGCTTTCTATCTGAGTTCCACTGGCATGCAGACGCTGACACATGTGTTCTCCCCCCCCCCCCCCCGGGTTCATCATAGCCCTGATGAAAGCCAGGCCTGCGGAGCCCTTTTAACAGACCAGCTACTGATTAGCACCATTTATTTCCATTATCCCTTGAATGGAATCACTTAAAGGCCATGTAATTGTTTCTCCTTAAGATTTCCTTGCTCTCCTTTTCTCGCTCTCCTGCCCGTGCAGGCTCTCATAACGCTTCAGTGGCCCAGCCAAAGGTAATACTTCCTCTGCTATGAGGATTAACTGTGCACTGTGTCCCTTGGGTTCTGGTGTCTGCGAGTCTGACCTGGCCTGGAGCCACCTGACTTGCAGCGGCCTTCCTGGGGATGGAGATTAATCACTCCTCACAGTTTCTGTTCTGTGGCCAGATTCTTAATCAAAGAGGATGTTTCTCCTCTTTGTGAATCAGAAGACCCTCCTGGGTGGTGACAGGTGTTCCTTTTCTCCTCGGGCTGATGTTTCAGTGTCTTGGGGGGTGGCCCTTCTGCACCATGCCCTGCATGAGTAGGATTTAGCCATAGGTGTCATCATGTTCAGACCTGGGTCAAAGGTGAGAGGTCAGAGTGGCAGTGATACCCTTCTTAGTCTGTTAAGAAATAGTTTCACAACTAGCGTAGAAGTGTGAGGCTCAGAGAGGAGTTTGGAGTGCTGAGTGGCTTTTTTTTAAATATATTGCTCTTTTTGGCTGAACAAGACATAAAGTTTTCTTGTTTATACTTTGAAGTATTTCACTTATTGAAAATAAACTTTGCTACTGAAACTTGTGCTATTTAATATGAACTGTTAATTGTAACAAACTTGTTATATACTCGTTTTATTGATGGAAGCCCTGTCAGCCGATCCAGGCTGTTAAAATGTTTTTTTTCAGTCCTGTGCAGTGCTGATGATGCGTTTACTCCACTCGGTCATGTGCTTTTAAGGTTATCTGTGACAGAATATTTTAAATGCTGTTTGAAAATTCATGTGGGTATTTGACGGCACTGGTGACTATTTGGTTTTGCTCATTTATTGCGGGGAATTTTACCAGTATTGTAATTTTTTTTGATGAAAAACAAAGAAGGAAAGGTCACCTGCAGACAAGCGGGATCCAGCCCTTCATGCCTGGGACCTGAATCGTGCTTAGCTTTCCGAAATGTATTGTGACATAGATATGAAGGAGCTTCAGAGAGTTAAGCAAGCCGCCCATCTTAGCAAGAAAATGATGTCACTGCCTCTTCTTGGAGGAAGTTAGATTAGCGGGATACACTGTCTACTCCATCAACCATGCGTTCAACAGCCAGTTTCCCGTTTAGTACACTGGCTCTGAATGGGGTGACTGTGGTTATGTAACGGGTGTGCTCATGGTCGGAGGTGCGAATCATGGCAGACGGTCACATGACGGTGGGGGCTGCGTGCGTGCGTGTCTGTGGTACTCCATTTTTAAAAAGCTTTAAAAAGCACCTTCCAAGCCCCCGCCGCCCCCCCCATACACTCTTTGTTCCTCGTCAGCTTGCAGAATTCCTTTCGGCTGCCGCATGAAATGCAGCCGCGGCAGTTGGTGCCGAAAATCGGAGAGAGTAATGAGAACCACGTTCCGGGGCTCAAGGCCGGATCTGCCTTCGCAGGAGGGGACACGGGTGATACAACGCAGGCTCCTGGGGCTTTAACCGCTTCACTGCCACCCACGCTTTACATTCCCTGCAAATCGTTTAGTTTTAGAGACTGAGGATTTTAGATGATGCTGGGAGTCTCTGACCTCAAGTCTCGAAGCAGTTTCGGTCATCGTATGGCCAGGGATTCTGAGGCCCTGACAAAATATCACATTGGGGCACCCCAGTAGGGGTGTCACTTTCAGTCTGAAGAAATACCAAGCAGGGGGGACCCCACTGTTAAATTTACCAAAAGGGGGGAATCCCCATGATGCTATTTGCAGAGCGTAGACTTGATATTCTCCGTGCATATACATAATTTTTCGTGTTCAGGTGCCCCTGTAATGTGTTGCCCCCCCCCCCCATCTGCCAGGGTATCCATGCCCCTCTGACACCCCTGCCTCTGGCTGATTGTTCCACAGCCAGGCCTGATGTAATGACGGTCGAGGTGCTCTGAGATGAAACGCACAAACACATGCAACAAATGGCTTGACGTCAGTCCAGATAATATAAAAAACATCTGAATATTAATAGCAACCATTCTTGGCATCTATATTACGTTAATTTATTATTTAAATGAGGAAACCTATAGACACATTCACGCTTTCAAAGACACACAGGACAGGCATTGGCGAACTTTGCATAGGTCTGGAGATTTATTTTTATTTATTTTTGAGTGCAAGTCACAGTCAGTCTTGAATTTTTAATTTTTAAAGCTCCGTTTATATTTTCCCCCTCTGAATAACCACTGGCAACAAAAAAAAAACACATGTACTGGATAAAGACGAGAGGATTAGAATCAGTTTGTTCATCATTCTCTGTAATTTTGTGTTGGCAGTTTCTGGAGTGTTTAATTTTGTTTAAAGACGAGAGATCAGTTTCTTAGCAAGTGTTCTGGTTCAGTTAAACCCCGCTGCTCTAATGGAAATGGAAAATGATGTCATTTAACAGAGAGGCCTGCCCAGTCTTTCCCTATCGAGAATGGCCGTTTGTCTTGTTGCTTATACAGGTATGATTGGCTTTTGGCCTTTTGGCTTCCAGACAGTCCCAGGTCTGTCTTTCTCTTTCACTTTCTCTTCTCCTATTTCTTAGCTGAGCGTTTTTGAGAATCCTGACCAGAGACCCACAGACGAACTTGGGATTGGCACTGTGCTCTGTGAACTGGCTGATCCAAGTGTTGCTGTAATGTCTGCAGTTTGTAGACATGCAAGTGTGTGTGTGTGTGTGTGTATGCTCAAAAAGAACACAGTTTAACATTGGAACAAATGCAAATTAGCACTAACAATAAAAAATTAAAAGAGCAAAAACAGTTTCTTCTGTTCTCCAAAACATTACTGATCACAGCATTGGTTCCCAAACCTCTCCTCAGGGGCATCTCAGCCATTCTAAGTGTTTGTTAAATTTCTCCACCAGCTCCACATGGTTAAGCTGACACACTTTTACAGACATAATATCATAGTGTTACGCCAACAAGAAGATCATTTAAACGTTGTTTTCTTGGACTGCCTAAGACTTTTGAATACTGCTGTGTAAATTGACTGGCACACCCTGAAGAAACTTGATAGCTTAATTATCTTTAACCATCTGTGTTATATTTTGTGCTTAGTGTATATTGTGTGCGTGTTGCTATGTTTGAATGTGTGTGGTTAGGAGATTCATCTGTAAAAGAACCATCCCATTGTCTTTGTTTGGTTTGTTGGATGAAGGATAGATGTCCTCATTATGTCAATGTTCCTATTAATGAAACTTGAAGATGCAAAACGGGGAGGGGGTGGCTAACAGATCCCTCTCCAGTCCCCACCCTCAAGGCCTGCTTGTGACGGAGACGAACTGCACGTGTCCATACTGCTGGGAGATTCTCTCTTGCTCTCTGCTGCAGTCATCTGCTCTAACACTGATCTGAGTCACTGCTCTTGTTTTGACTGTTTCTAAACTGAATTTCAGAGGGGGTGTTGCTTAATTGCAGTTTTGTCCAGCCCCCCCCATTTGTGCAGAAATGGTGCAGGCCTTTGAAATTGGTAAACCCCCACCCCCACCCCACCCCCCCGAAACTGAAAACCACTTAGTAACTGAACGCCCATGCTGGTGCTTAATGGTTTGCATTAGCTGCGAGCCGTAACATCACGCAGCTCCTCGCTGTCGTTGCTGCAATCATGGAGCCGTCTGTGTTCTTGTGTCTGTGTGTGTTTTTTTATTATCCAGCTGTCCCAATTCTGCATTATTAATAATGAATAAAAATGCAATTTTCCACGAGTTGCTCTGGGAGCTTTGGGAGTCGATCCGATGAATTTTTCAGCGGGTTATTTTAATCATGCCTCCTCGTGAAGGAGGTGGGACTGGCTTGTGTTTTATGCTTCCACCTTTCCACGTGAAACCTTTGTCCCCTGCTGTGATCGCTAACCTCTGCCGTCTGCATTCAGGCTTCATTGTTTGATTTGCTGCTTTATTTGCCTGTTGTACAGGTATATAGAAATGCTTTATTTCTTATATCTCATCCCACTCTCCTTTGAGACATAAAGGCACACACATGTACAGCTGGGAGCATAGCTTGGGGGTCCGAGCACAGAGTTAAGCTTTTATCCGGTGTCCCTAGTGCATTTTTCAGGCCTTGCTGAAGGGCTCAATGTGACAATTCTGCTGATTCGAACCAGTAACATTCCTGCCGCAGACTCAGAGGCCTAACCTGAGTCACAGATGAGAGTCAGGAGAGTGGTTCTTTGGGCCTGAGTAGATCAACTCTGTCCATAGGACATAACGAGTCACCTTCCTTCTTTGTTGACTGTGTTTGGTTCTGCTTTTTTCCTTGGGGGGGGGGGTTTTGTTTGCTTCTCATATGTGACCTTTGACCCCGGTTTGGCCCTGTTACAGTACATGGCGGCATGGCAGTGAATGGGTACTGCCCTCTGCTGGATGTCCCTTGGTGGAGTAAGGTGTAGCAATGCCTTCCCTAGCAGTTTGGTGCAGGACTGGTTGCCTCTGTGGTATAAAAAAAAAAAAGGCCAATACATCTTTGGGTCTTGGGTAACTGATAACTGCAAGTCTTTCAAAACAGGTTATAATATGATGTAATGTATCAAAACTGAGGTTCGCTGTTTTACCTAAGGAATGAAGCCCCCCCCCCCCCCCCTCACCAGTCATGTCCTGGAGGTGCACTAACATATATTACATAGTCCACAAGTTTCTGTGCATCTGTATTTCCAATTACAGTTACATTCCCTGGTTAGGTGGTCAATTAAAAAAACAGAAACGTACCCTTATGGAAACCTGAATGTGGGGCCAACTCCATCCCTAACCTCTGCCCTCAATTTCCTCTCTCTGCAGCCAACTACATGACTTCTGGCGCTTGGACTACTGGGAGGACGACCTGCGGAGACGGCGCCGGTTCGTCCGCAACGCCTTCGGCTCCACCCACGCCGACGCCACGCTGAAGGCCCTGGAGGATTATGGTCAGTGTCTCTGCCTGGCAACCCCTCTCACCTGCTTACTGTCATCAGAGAAATACCACAGTGTGCTACGGATTTCTACGTTGCCATGGTAATACCAAAAAGTGGAGTGTAAGTTCCACTGTTCAGATTCCGTGCGCGGTAACCGGTCTCCGCCCGTCTGGCAGGCTCTCTCCTCAGTAGCACGTTCACATTGTCCATCTGTACCCTTGTAATACCCAGCTGCGCTCTGCCCTTTCTGAAGCTCTCACGGTAGCTTTTCATGCAGAGAAGTGAGAGAATTCTTACCACGTTGGTGAGAGCCTGCATCCTCTGTGGGCATAGTTGGAGACGTGTGGCATATTTCGTTAACATATCAGTATTGACCGATATTTTTTTAAGAATCAAGATATCACCATCGGTCCAACGGGTCAAATTTGACCGATAATGCCTGCCAATTTTTAAACTTCATTAATATTCAAAAGCAGCAAAGCTAAAGGCACTAAACTTCTAAAATAATGGAGGTTATTGCACTGGACAGTCAGCACTTTTATCGGCTCATTCACCACTTAGAAGACGTCTCAAAGTAAGACTGTTTTATGCGGTCCGTCATGCATCATGTTTCAACGCCAGAACTCTTATAGACGTGGCATTCATAGAAAGTGTTAACAAGCAATTTATTTTTTTTCCATTCTGCTCCTGAATGAGAATCTCTCCCGCCCTCATCCTGTGTTCACCAGTGTCATGTCATTGTGCTACCTCATTCCATGCAATAGCCTACTGCAATTTTCCCCTATTTGTTGCCATAATGGCTGTCAAATACCAGCCAACATTAATTAAACATTAACCCAACACACAACTTTTCCAACCCTGCCAACACCAGAAATCAGGGAGGGAAGTCATGGAGTGCTCCTTAATGCTTGATCAAGTCAAGTTTTTCTCATTTCACACACATGAAACGAAATTTCAATTCCTCAGAGCATCAGACAGCTATAAATATGGTGGAAAGGTAAATAAATAATAAAAATCAAAAACACAACAATGCACAATAACAACAATGATAACAAATAATACGCAACAATTTTACCTTCTGATGCTGACTTTGTTTGCCCATTTGATTTTAGGGTCATTAAACGCCCTGCAAACTGAGCCTAAATGTAACATGTGGAATGTAGGAACAATTGCAAACCCAAGCATGACAACACGCGTGATCAGTCTGCTGTCTATGACGGAGGTCAGCTGGCCGCCATGACAGATGCCATTGTTAAAAATAATTTGATTTTTCGGTCTCACTGTTTAAATTGTAGACTTTCAGAGATGAAACATTTGCTTAAGGCATGGGGGGTGGAGTGTTTCCGGAAAAAATGTGTTGTGTTCTTCCCCTCAAAGGATTCTTTTGTATTTTCTGTTTTTCTGTTCTGAATTTGTTGTCTGTGAATCTGTGTATTCCCATTAATGTAGTATGCACTAAATGAGAAAATTTAAACTGCTGTCATCAGTTGTTGTGTATGTGTGTGTGTGTGTGTGTGTGTCTATTTTATAAAAATCAGTTACTGCTATGAAAAAACTAAAAATGCAAAAACTCTTGTATTTTGTTAGGTTACTTATGGTTATGGTTAGGGCAGGGTGGGGGTTAAGGTTGTCATAGTTAGCGTTAGCATTTTTCCCATTGAAATGAATGAGCAGTTCCCATAAGGATATGTTTACCCTACATGTGTGTGTGTTTGTGTGCATGTGTGTGTGTGTGTGTGTGTGGGGGGGGGGGGTTATGTATGTATGTATTACATTGTGGAGACCAAATGTCTAAGCATATTAGCATGTTTAAGGTACGCTAGGCTAGGCTATGACCAAATGTCCCCACAATATGATAAAAAAACTGTTATTTTGACCATTTTTTCGGTACCCACAAAGGGAAACTAAGTTTTATAAAAATCTGTGAATGCTATCGCTAAATTAAAAATGCTCTTTTATTTTGTTTGGCTACTTATGGTTAAGGTTAGGAATAGGTAGGAGTTAAGGATGTCATTGTTGGGTTACGCCTGTGGAAATGAATGTAGAGTCCCCGTAAACATATGCATACAAACATGTGTGTGCGTGTATGTTTACGCCACAGTCTTCCATGATACGGGACATTAAAAGCCTGCTGGAGAAGTGTTGTGGATGCTTTTAGATGTTTGTTACACGTCCCTTAAGACCTGCTCATGTAATGGTCAGCCAAAAGCACTCCATCATACATAAATTCTTTTTGAATGCAGCTTTAAATGCTCCTTTTCCCTCTCACTGGGACAGCAGCTTTGAAATGTTTGAGCCCTGGAGTCTCTCTGAGATCTCAGAGCACAGAAAGTGACGCGGCTGATCAGGAAGTGACCTTTCAGTACAATCAGAAAATCTAAAACCTTTTAGGTTTCAAATTGCGTGCTTTTCTCCAAAGTCTGAGTCATCAGCTGACGCTGTGGTCTCCTGTGAGATGGATGACTGAAGCTCTCATGCTTAAAGAAGATGTTAATCTCGGTGCTCCCAGTTAGGGAAAGTTAGACGAGTTGATGGTCGTCAGTATCCATCAGGATTTTGACACCTGCTTTATGGGCTTGTGTGCTGGAGAAGCAAAGTGGTAAATATGGCTTAAGATATTTGGTGCCAAAGTTTTCTGAGTGCCTGAACCACAGGTTCAAATACTTGATCCATCTGTTGATGATAGCTGGACATACTAGGTTAGGGAAATTTTGCTCATTGTTTTGGGTAGAAAAAGACTCCATATGCAGGGCATGCAATTTGAGATATACTCTTGTATGTTGATTGTCATTTCCACCATTTACGTTCATGTGTCTGCAGATCTGCCTGCAAGCAGCACAACAGCATCGATGATTGAGAACTTGCTGAAATCCTGTAGCCTCCTGGCGATTCTAACGAGAGGAATAATTTATAGGCCTGTCATGCAACGGAATTGGCTTTGCTCTGATCTTACTTGGGTCTCCTCTGAAGTCCTCCAGATGATTAAGTGGTCACCTCTCCATTTTCACTACATCTTCATTCTTTCAAAAGCGAGGAGATGATCTGCTTCGTTCTGTCATGCGGGGAGTGAGCTGTCCATTTCCTTTGCTCCTCCGCTGTTAGAAACTGAGCAGAAGTGGAAAAAATGTAATGGTTCAGAGCTGGTTGAGGAAATCAATGACATAAGGCAGCTTTACGGCCATGTCGGGCCCCTTGGACAGCGGAGCAGCCCAACCCAGGACAGGCATGTGTCCAAGTGGGAAAGGTGTAAGAATATACTTGCAGTTTGAGATCTAGAGGAGCTCTTACTGTAAAGGTTATTGAGCACTTTATCAGTATGCTTCAGTTTCATTTTAATTGATTTATTGATAAATTTGTTAATAGTATGCAGGTGGTTGTTTGACATGACTTGGTTTCTATGTTAGATATCTTAGACCACTAACCTTTGAAGGGAGCTTTATGGTGTACCCAAACCCTGGCTGATTGTCTAGTGAGAATGAATATTGTTGAATGCTCTCTCTGTCTGGTTTGTGATTTTACTCTGGGTGGGCCACCTACCCCCACACCCCTAACCCCGTAACCATACATTAAACGATAAGGCCGTCAACACGACTACTCCACACTGGTCAGGAAATGGAAGCTGAAACTGGATATATGTTAATATGAGTAGCGTAACTGAGGAAGAGTCTGGGCTATTCTTTAATCAGACAGTGTGCTGTGAGCCTCTGTGTCAGGAACACAATCTGTTTCTTTAAATAATTATGCATTTGTAGATGGTTATTTTGGGATTATAAAAATATGCTGGGTGTAAATTATTTCTTATGATAGCATGCAGTGAAAAGCATGTAGTTTATACAAGGTTGCATGTAGGACCCTTGGAGGCCAGGGAATATAGAGCACAGGGCAGGGGAACACCAGTCTGTGATAGAGTACATCACCCCATGGGCAATCCACACACCAATCAGAGTACGTCACCCCATGGGCAACCCACACACCAATCAGAGGGAACCCAGTGAAGACGAGTAGAACATGCGAACTCATGCAGAGCAGGATGGATTCAAACCCCGAGGCATGGGGGTGTGAGGCAGCAGTGGTAGCCCCCTTGCTCAAGTGAGCGTGCCACCTCGCAGTGCAAACTTTTCAATTATAGTGATTTTTCAATCCAGTTTGGTTTCTTCTCGGGTGGCTAAATTTTTTTATTTTTTTTTGCTGATTTAATGTCATTTAATATGGGAAAAGCAGGGCCTTGAGTAATCTTGAAAAACAGATGTTTTTTTTTATACTTTATTCTTGTTCTGTGAAGTACTATTGTGATAAAACTCCACCGATTACATTTCCTGGCTTGTGCTCCAGCATTAAAGCATGTCATCATGGAGATGAGCGGTGGGGGGTAGAGTGTAAACTCGGCCTGGGAGAAGCAAAGGGGCTATGAAACTTGGTCCTTCCACATAACCACCACCCATTCATGCACAACAGAACAGGGAAACCTCTTCGATGTGACTCTATGAAAACCGAAAACCATTTGCTAGAGTCACACAAGCAGACCTGGGGCTTATACACACCTCCAAACCATGTGACACGATGTGCTTATTTTATTAGTGGAGATGAGGATCCACATAAAGACCACTCTTCTAGCTTGATTCAGTTAATAGGTTAATTATAGTGTGTTAGGGGACATTGGAGGGAGTGTTTATTTAATGCCCTATTTAATGCTTTTTTCATGTAAACAATTTTGAGTTTAGAGAACTGATTTTTATCTTTGTATGTTTGTTTGTCTTGGCTGCGTCTGTAGTAATTCAGCTCTCCCTCTCTCCATAGAGGAGTTCATGAAGCTCCCTTTCTGAGGGCGTGACTCTTTGCCCATCCAACAATTTGCTTTTCTGTGTACAGACTCTCCCTGGGTTACGACGGTCTGTGTTATATTTTGACGTTACGATGGGTATTCCAGTTCCATTTTGGCTTTTCCACTTTCAGTATATTATTCAATAAGTTACATGAGATATTCAACACATTATTATAAAATAGGCTGTCTGTTAATGATTTTGCCCAGCTGTAGGGTATTGTAAATTTTCTAAGCATGTTTTAGGCTAGGCTAGGCTATGGTGTTAGGTTAGGTGCACTGTATTAAAATGCATTTTCACCTTGCGATATTTTCACCTTACAATTATTGGAATGTAACCCTTGAAATGTCTGTATATGGCTTTATCTGAGTGTAAATTGAACCTGATGGGCTATAATGGTTCTGGTGTCTGACTTGTAACATGGATTAGGAGTGGGGAAGCCTTTATGGAATTTTCTGGAAACCACAAACCTGTCCATGGTAATCCAAGATTTGGGTGGCCCTGTTGGGTTCCTGCTACTGCTCCAAGCTGCTGCCTGAGCTTGGCACTGATCGCACGCATGCGTGTCTGTGTTTGCGTGTGCGTAATCATAATATTTACCCCGCTGGCAGACATGTTGTTATTGTGGTGATGAGATCACTGAACTGCTGTGCTACCAAGTTACCCAAGAACAAACATCACCCTTCCACCCACACGTTTGGACGTCTCCCTCTGTGAGAACCACACATTGACCAAAAAACAAACAGAGATAAATATCTGGTACAAGTCTTTCAGGTCCTCATACCATTTTTCTTTCCTCTTCCAGTAGCCCCCCCACCCCCCCCAATAGCATGTTCAATATTAAAATGGGAATAAAATAATTCAAAGTGCTGTGTGTGTGTTGTTATGCTTAGGCTTTGTGATGATTGGCGGAGTTGGGCTTTGCTACTTCAAAGCCTCTCTTATAAGTGCTTGAGTATACATTTACATTTATTTATTTAAAAGTATCATTTGTCGAAAGCGAGATACAAATTTGGCACATTACAGGCATGCAGCTGTCAAGGAGCCAACTAGGCATAAATGACCAGTAAAAATCGCATAAGCTATGTAAATGCATTACAAACATAACGAGAACCTGATATTTAGACATTTTATGTTCTTTATTTTGCACGTGTTTTTATCCGAACGGATTTGAACTGGCAACCTGCTGATCAGTCCTAACCCTCTTATCCACTATTCTGCTCAGATCTTGTCTGAAAATAGGAAATCTGCATATTCTCTGTGTAATCTCTATCCTGTGTCTGTTTTAATTTTTTTCTCTCTGTGGGTGATATTGGTTAAAGATCATTTTTATTTGCCTAGTAACATGCAGAAAACCCATAAATGCTAAACACTGATGTATCTTTACCCGTCTTTGGTTGGGTGTTGGTTTTAGCCCCGACAGTCACATTCATATTGCGTGGCCTCTTCACTTTACGACATGACAGTCTGCAGCAGCTATTTGGGTTACATTTCCACAGATCTAATTTTCCTGCTTGAAAGTTTCCGTAACAGCAGTCTTACACAACGTCCCGTTTTCTCCGCTTCCGCTAGTTGAAGCTACGGTTTGTGAGACTCATTTCCAAAATGTTGGAGCTTCTTCCATTTCATCTGATGAAACGGTTTGTGATCCATGTTCTTTTGGCAGGTTACAGTGTAGGTGGCTGTCAAAAAGAGAAAAAAAAACCTCTTTAAGACAAGGGACATATTCCCCGGGCGCACTGGGGGTGTTTGTAGCTCTTATCAGGATTGTTTTACTCAATTGTTCTGCTCTACAAGTTTAACTTTTAAAGACAAAGGCATCCGGGTGCGGTAGATGAGCTGTGAGCTGTAAGATGTGCTGCAGTTAGTATTCCTGGTTCTTCTTTCCTACATGCACTTCTCTAATGGGCTCTGGAGACACCTGTCCAGACTGTCGCCCCATTCAGCTCTTGATCCAATAGCTACTCGGCCTCCCTAATGTACATAAGATCCCACATAGTAATTTGATCCCTGGGAGAATCTACTTTTATTGGCGATTAAGGAGATGCATGAGAATATATGGTAATGCTTTACATTAAGTGCACCTTCATAATACCTTTATAATGCATTCATAGTGACTTGTACTAGAACATTAATAAGCAGAGTATGTTGTAAGTATGTGAAGATGCACTTAATGGAAAGCATGACCAAATATATTTGTGAGATGATTTGAGTTATTATGTTCCTATAGACATGTTTTATGATATTCTGTTGTCCCCCCCCAACCCCAAAGATTCACATGGGTTTTTCATTGGTGGAACAATGACCTCTGTGATGCTTATACTCACTTTGGGTTTCAGCCGCTATTCGTTGACCTTCTTGCACTGTCCTGTGTCTGACTCAAAGCTTTCCTCCCTCCTGAATGCCGCAGGTTCTGAGGATGACGATGTAGTCCGGTCCAAGAAGGGCTTCCGCAGCCAGACGGTGGTCAACCAGAATCCGGATACAGAGCTTATGCTGGAAGGGGATGACGATGCTGTTAGTCTGCTGCAGGAAAAGGAGATGGACAATCTAGCAGGTGAGAGGTCCTACACCAAACTAAAGATTTGTTCTATTCCAACTTCATACTCAACACCCTGTAACAAAACATTATGTAATAATGCCGCATTATGTAATTACTCAACAGAATGTAACAAATTGAATGATGATGATAATGGCGATAAAAATAATTATAATAATAATAGGGTAATGTTGCAATATTTGCAGTATTTGGGAGGCAGTTGGTGAGATAGTGTTGTGGTGTTTCTTCTGCCCCACCCCCCCTTAGCCTAAATCAGCTTCCTCATGGTCCTTGTTCTTCAGCTACAGCCCCTGCTGGCTTCTTCCAGTTAGGCAGTGCTACTCTGATGTACTTCACAGTAACAGTATCTATTTGTTTTTTGTTTTAGTGCCTTTTCATCCCCGCATGTTTATCTCCAGAGGCAAGTTGTTTCTTTGTGTCGATGCACAACATTTGGACAAGAATCATTCTGTCCCCTAATTTTGAAACTGGACACCGAAGATTTTGGAAATAAACTAACAATTTCAATCAAGCAGTCCACTTCATGGATGTACTGTAGTATCTGGAACTAGTTGACCAGACCACCTGATTTGCAGCCATAATGTCTGAAGAGTCCAGATACTTTAGTCACGTTGATTAACTGATCCTATTAGTAGTTGAAAATCCTGATCAACTAATCTGTTTAAAACTAAATGATTTATCACCATTGATGATAGAAATCTCAGCCTCCGAAAACCAAACCACCGCTGAGAACATGTCACCAGAAACTAACAATTTTATTTATTCATTAATGAATTAATGTGGAAAGAGCTGTTTCAGCCAGTATCTGAATCACTTACACAGTTCCCAGGGAATTTAAATAATTATGAGCCTTAGAAGTTTGTGGTAAAGAGACACCGATAAACATTTGTATGTACTTATGTTCTGGATTTAGCCTTTTGGGATTTGACTAAACTTTTTTTCTGCGCTTGGGGCTGCATTGTGTGTGATTCATTTTCTCACCACTGTGAGCGCTGTGCTTTGGGTGACTGAAAGGGAAGTCATTCGTGGAATGACGTCGGACGCCAAGGAGTTGGGAATTGAGTGACTCAAGGATTACCTTAGATTTTGCCTGGGGGGTATGAAGACGCACGGCTGCTCTCGCCTGACATGAGGGAACGAGCAGGGCAGCTGGGGAGTCACGGCAGAGTCTGGAAACAGCCACTTGAGAGAAGGAATCTGCAGCTGTGTACTGGTAGACTCACTGTTTAGGGTCATGCGTGGGACAGTGAAGCCCTGTGACCGTGGCTGGGCTCGATTGTCCTGGTATTAGACGTATGCTTCTTTTCATCCTCTGCATGTAGAGCATTACTATCGCACCCCATAGTTTGTTCCTTCCTGCCGATTTGCAGGTTCTTTTGGGTATGGCTGTGGGAAGCTGAGCCTCAGCCCAGCACTATCATGTCAGTTTGGTTGCTTTCCTGGTTGACACTGAGGATGGCTTGTTTGTACATTAAACTAGATCAGTGGAGTCTAATCCGGTCCTAGGGGTCCTGCAGACAGTCCACGTTTTTTGCTCCCACCGAACATGGACCGTCTGAGGGTCCCCGAACTGGGAGAAACAGAACTAGAGGGCAGCCTCCTGACTGAATGGTTATGGTTATTTGACATTGCTCGTTCGTGCCTCCCTCTCATTCTTATCAGGATCCTGCAAACTTATTAAAACATATGGTGACTTTTAGCCATTAGCAAGGATCGTCAACCTGTCCATACACTCGTATTTTTGTAGGTTATGCTTTTAAATACCATATCCATGATATATATTGCATTTTGATCAAAATGTCTTACAGAATTCATCACAGTGATGACCCATGATCAGTAGTATTTTTTGTGGCATTAACATCTATGTGCCATTCAGCAGTGAGAAGCTAAAACAGGCTGCTTTGAGCTTTCTAAGAGCCGTTCTGGGAGTTCTTCACTGACTTAATATTTTTGCAGTTCAGATACTCCTACAAATCAGCAGAGTGATCCCACTCCTCAGGCTTGCTGGGCTCTTGGTTCCCTTTACACATTTTGCCATTGGTCCAGGAGCATGTCAGACTCTCCCCAAAGTCTGCATGTAATGGAATGGAGGTTAAGGAGTCTGTAAGGTAAATGTAGCTGGGTTAAATCATGAGGGACCCAAAGGATATTTCCTGGAGAACAGCACTAAATCTGAAATACTTTGCTTCATCATTCACTGCATAAATTGGTGGAATTTTTAAGCTTCTTTGGAGAAAACCAGCTTTAACAGGTTATGACCCTGGTGGCATTGAAAGATTTTTTTTTTCTAATGCTGTGATGCATTAGAGTACAAAATGAATGTACAATGTAAAAACATATTTGGAATTTAAATTTCGCATTTAATTTTTCATATATTCTTAAATAAACAGAAATAAAAAAATCTTTAAGACTAAATAGCCTTTTCTGGCCACTTTGTTTAATAGTGCTGTTTCCCATAACGCCCAGCTCCCATTCCCAGTGCGGTTCTGTGGGCGCACTGGTGGCACCGCTGCAGTGGCTGATTGAACGGCTGCGGTCTGTTCTGCAGATGACTGTCATTTAACATGCGACTCCGTGGTGGAGAGGTACAGACCAGCACCTGTTTTAGCTAATTTCATTGTTTATCATGCTATCTTCTAATGGGGGCTGGGTGGGTAAGGTGGGGGGTGAAAAATTCCTCCCATGCCGGTTGACTTTACAACAGATGTTAAATGTAATTAAGTAAATGTTATTTTGCGATCGTTTGGCGCATTTTCCTCAGTATGTTTCAATAAAAAATTTCAATTTGAAAAGTTGATTTTAACAGTAAATTGAATAATAACATTAGGCATACCAATGATTATGGATTATATGCAAATAGCTATAGGTCTATTAACATGTTTATATTAAAATCAGCTTGAAATGAGGGTAAAACGCAATTATATCAGCCCTGTGGTTGTATTAAAGTAATAAAGTAGGCTAACTTTTATTTTTTTAAAAAGTACTCTATAAAGTCTGACACAATGACACAAACGACTAAATTCTCATATTATTCCTGCTAGTAAAATTATCATACACTGGTTTATATGTAAATAATAAGCCTACCATCGTTTACCGGGATTGAACCGTTTTTGGAACGCTTCGAATTCTATTTTAAAATTTGATCGCTGTGCGTCACACTCTAAAACTTCGATTTCAGTGCCTGTGGTGTTTTTTCTTTTTTTGAGTTCCCGCAACATGTTGTCCCGGTAAATTATTTTAGCCAATTTCTGTTACAAATGTTCTTTTTCGATTATCAGGCTAGTCATTTTAAAAATGTACGATTATTTAGGCCTGGACTTTGGGTTGCTGGAGTTGAGTATTTTAACGACATTAAAGGTTCCTTAATTTCATGATTTTGCAGGTTTTTGAGCCAGATGGATAATTTTCGGACGCAGATGAACAAAGCGCAGAATTTGGGACATCGAGGTTGATTTGTTAAATTCGGTGTTAACATTTTAATTGTATATCCTAATTGTGAGAATCTTACCCAGATGCGATTATCACCGAATCTCTTTTTGGGCGGGATAAGTCCATTAAGATGATGCACTATTTCATACTTGCACGGAATCCCCGGGGCGGCCCCAGTTCTATGCGGCTGAAACGCGTCGATGGATGAAACGGGAAGGGGGAGCTGAAACGCAAAATTTATTGTAAGATATTAGTAGAATTAGTAGAATTGGGAAGTACGGAAACTTATAATTTAAACGCTAACAGGAATTAATCAATAATATAAGTTAGTAAAATCGAAAAGCATGTACTGGGCCTACATGTTTTCGGAATAAGTGACACATTTAAACAAAATAAAAATAAACGTTACCCGTGTAATTTGTCGTAAATGTTATAGATGCTTTAAATGGTTGATCATTTTAGTTTTTTCTAATATGAAACTTTTTGTATTTGAATGAAGGAAAATATATAATTATATATTCGAAGCGGTGTTCATTTCACATTTCTTTTACTGATGTATTTATCCTGAATGGTTGCGTAAAATATTAGGCTGTGTGATTTTTAAAGCGACCGTAATCTTATCTGATAAATAACATGGAACTTTTCTAAAATGGGTCCTTTCATCTTCTATTAAATAAGATATTCAACTATATAATGATTAATTGTACAAAGCATTAGTTGAAAAAGACTGTGGAAGACGCAAGAGAACGTCTGCCTATCACGGTAATACGAGAAAGATCTGTGGAAGGCGACGGGGACGTGCCCAACGCCGCCGCGAAAGACTCCTGTGGGAGATGAAACCCAAACCCACTTGTAATTTACCAAACGTTCCGGGTTTAATGATTGAGTAACCTACATAAAGAGACAAGCTTGCTCTTAAAAGTCTAGATCGATAAATACACTAATTTTAAGATAACGATTATTTTGTATGCATCTCTATTGTTTAGTGCAACATGCCAGAAGACTGAGGGTTAAAGAACGTATAACCAACAGGGAATAGTCATCAAATGACTACTGTCGTTAGCCTGCTGGGTACGGCGCAAAACATTGTAACTTACTATTATTAAAGCGCATAGTTAGATTCCTTACTATTAAGTCACCGAAGTGGTTGTAACACAGTAGCAGCGAGGGCGCTGTAAATTTGGTCGATGCCCTGTATGATTTAGGGGGTCCACACGTGGACAGTGGACCTTAAACATGCCAGCAGTATTGGGGTTGGTGGCCCAGAATGAGCTTTTGGTATGCGGTTCGGGATTCCTAGCCTCGTGACTGTATAGTAACAGCCTACCAGAAAGTGGAAAATGTTTACGTATGCTGCCTTAATCGTGCACAGATAGTTTAACATATTCGCGTTAAATATTCAAAATAGACTTAGCGTGGCCCACGAACCAAACGGTTATGGATTTTTTTTCCAGAAAGTAATCTTGAAGTCTCTGGGGGGAAAAACAATGTTCAGAGATTTAAGAACATATTTGATAGGTTTAATGCGCTTTACCGATTGTCTTTCAATTATAACATATTTATAGCCACAAAGTATGAAATTATAAAGTATCTAAGTATAATTATTATACTTGCTATACAATAGGGTATGCCTTGTGAATGAATAAACGTGTTTCATACGGGGTAGCTTAACTGTCTTTTAATCTTGACTTTGTTGCTTCTTAGAACATCACGATCAATGATGAATATAGTTCCGTTATATTAGGACCTATGGTTCTGTCGAACTTTGAATTTCAGTTGTTACTCTGCTGCAGAATTGTTCTCATATAATAACCTTTTCATGTGCATAACTTATTTTAGACCTTTTTTATATTCTTTTTATTGTATTTATATTTAGAACATTTATCATTTCTTTAAAAATTATTAACCCAGAGTTTGAATTGCATCCGTTCTTGCAGCCATATTGCAGGCGTGCGCACTATCTTACTCATTTTGCCCTGTCACTTTCCAGGGCCCGTGGTCCTCAGCACCCCTGCTCAGCTCGTGGCCCCAGTCGTAGTAGCTCGCGGCACGCTTTCCATCACTACAACCGAGATCTATTTCGAGGTGGACGAAGATGATCCCGCATTCAAGAAGATCGACGCAAAAGTAAGTGTGTTCGCTGCATTTTTCTCCCATCACCTAATGCCGTTGTGTTGAAATTATTTTTGTTTTGTACTTGCGCGACGTATAGGCTGAAGATATCCTTCCCTTCCCGGTGATTCATTATACATTTACTGCGAAGGTGTTGACAGCCTGTGCAAAAACATCAATCCCGAATAAACAGAATGGTTCCAATTCAGTCATCCCTAATAAACAAGGTTAATAAATGCGATGACCCGTATATTTTACTGTATCGTAATAAATATCTGAGTAATAGGCCTGAACAACAACCTCTCTGGCGAGCAGAAATAACAGCGTGGCTGTCTCGGGGGACCGTACGCTCATAAAAATCTTTCTGGATTTACGAAAACGGGACGCGCGAGCTAGTGCGACTGTTTTAAGTACTGTCTGTATGTGTTTATGACCGGCTGACACCTGTAGGGAACTGGAACAAGTCATTATTTTGTGTGTATTTTCACTTGCACAGAAAAAAAAGTTAGACGGAAATAAAAAATAATGGCACGTCTGCTTAACGGGCTCATCGCATATTCGGTCATACCTACTGAATTTTTACAGGAAAAGTCAGTATATTTTGATTTGCATTTCGTCTTTTTTCTTAAAATATTTCACTAATTAAAATATAGGCTACATTCATTATTTAGGTCTGCAGTATTAAAATAATAGATTAAGTAGGATTTTCTTAATTTTTTTAAATGATTTTTTTGTATTTCTATAAAACTCTAGGCGTGTGATGTAATATGTATGGTTCTACTCGGTTCTCAGACTGTTAACATTGAATTTACCAATATTAACTTTACTCCTATGTTTAAGTAAAAAATAAAATATTACCAACTTAATTTTGCTGCAATTTTGCCAGAGCTACAGATAAACAGACACACACAACTAAAAGTGTGGTTTTTGTTTAATCATCAAAGTACGCAGCAATTTTAATATCGATTTCGGACACAAGTAATACTTTTTTGTTTTTAAATAAATTCAAACACAGAAAATGTAAGAAAAATCACAATGTAATACTCCAGTGCATTTCAAGTGCATTTTTTACCAAATATTAAATGGTAATATATTCAGACATAATCATATAAACAGACAAATTCATGTTCGAATATATTTAAATAAAATTTCAAGTATATTCATGGAATGTTACAACTTTAGCATAGAAATGTAAACTCTTAAGCACTTTTGAAGGACAATGTAGGCAAAGTTAAAAATATTATTACTTTTTATATTGATTTAATGGCAACTATAAAACGGTTGAAATAGCGAATATTTAATTTCAATGTATGCCACAAAACATCCACCATTTTAAACAACTGGAACACAATCTATGCAATTAAGAATACGGTATAAACGGAATCATTCCGAAATTCTCAAAAGGTTTTGTACAAAGAAAATAAGCGTGTCGAGACCGGGCAAATGTATGGCGACATCGACCCATCTGTTAGTATATGATTGCTGTAGCCGTGGTTGGTTTTATCTGGACAAAAAAATGTTAAATGTTTTTGTAGTCCACGGATGATATGTTTGGCTCACTTCACGTTACTAACAGAAATATTGGCAAAATAATTCCCTGCTATCAGTTGAAAATACGCAGGCCACAAGACATACCGACTGATGTACGCGGGCGCATCTTCTGATTTTTAAAAATACTTTTATTTCAGTTTAGAGTTTTTCCAGGCTTTTGGGGTTGGTGAGTATTTCCCTCGCCAATCTCCACGTCTGTTTAGCTGAGTTTTCGAGGGCTGAAGTTGGTTTGCCTTGGAATAGGTCTAAATTTGGCAGAAAGTAATGCGGGCACTTGCGACACTGCAGGCACGAAATGAGCTGTAAGAGAATACCGTTCAGGCGGTCTCCCAGGCAGTTTTCGTCCCAGTCCGATTCCCGGGGGTGCTTTTCACACTCATACGACACCAGCGTTTTCATGTGATAGTTATTGAGCGGCTGTCCTGGAAGTTCAAGGTGACGGTCGCGCAGAGCCTTAAGAACGGACAGACACTTCTTCCGACACCCTCCAAGGATTAGACGGTTCTCGGCTTCGGTAAACTGCAAGACCCAGGCATCGCTTTCGGCCGAGCTCTGCTTCCCATTTATCGAGTAGCATTCCTTGGATAAAAGGTTGAAGCCTTCGGCTTTGACCTCTGCCACCCTGTTTGGTCCGGGCCATGGGATGTGGGGCAGAGGCCAGTGCGCAGCGCTACGCGGCCATATTCCGGTGCACTTGAAAGCCGGGGTGATCTGCACCACGTATCTGTCTCTGATCCGCAATTTTACCTCGCTGGTGTCAGCCACCATCTTGACGACGTCCCTGTAGCTGCATTTATCCACTGCCTGCGCCACAAGGGTCTGAAACCGGGACCGGATCTTACGGGCCGAAAGGTACCCCGAGGCGGTGATGAACTCGACCCAGAGGGACATGCTCCGCTTTCGGCCGTCGCTGAGCTTCAGCACCGCACAGCCTGGAAGCGAACCGTCGTCCACGAAGTTGAAGACTCCCATTTGATTTAAATAAAGGACTACCTCAAATTCAGTCGGCGAAATTACCTCCAGACCCTCGTAACGGTTCTCAATTTCATTTAGGGAGCTGATGAAACGGGGCTCCTGAACTTCCACCTCCTTCAGGACGTCCGACACCACCTTGCATACTTCCCTGATTGTCTTTGAGATCGCGGCTTTCCGAGACTGGCATTTTTCGTTATAATACTTGTTCAGGTGATACACCAGCTTGGCCTGAGCCGCTATCATGTTTGGGCAGAGATCCGGATTGTACACCGGAGTCTCGCAGTAATTTGTGGGATCCAACGCGGCTGTTGCGCACTGGGGCCAATGTTAGAGAACAAAGTAAACAATTTTTTAAAAAACGAGTCTTTAAAATAAAAGCAAACCTACTCAGATCGCGCTCGCTGTAAATCCATCAGCCTTTACCACAGACAGCCTTTCAAGGTAAATCCTTTAATTCTGAGTTGCGGTAATTAGAAGTTAATCACGAGGCGACAAGAATTACAACTGGACCCATGCATAATTTGAAGTAGTGGGAAAAACAGCCTTTCCTTCCTGTTTTGTTTATATGATCTGTGCTTACCGCTCTGCTACTTGGTGAAGAGGAAGAGCATCGCGCTCGTGCTTGCGCTCGTGGTGCTGTGTTTAAAAGCGGGGACGAGCGCCAGCAAGATTATTAAGGGAGGGGTACTGCAGGAGGAGCCCAATCGGCTTCGCATTCGTCATTGCGTGTAGTTTATCGACCGTTAAATTAATAATTTCTCTCGATACATAATCACTCTTAAGGAGAGGAGTGCATCAATCCGCGCGAACACGCCCATGCAATTTGACGAGCGGCAGTTTAAGCGTGTGTTTGCGGATGCGGAGCAGCGTAATTATAAACTATAGAAGGTCACATTTATGGGCTCGTCTGAATTACGTGCAGAATATATTTCTGAAATTCTTTACCCCGTTGTTATAGTAAAAGTATTCTTTTTTGTTTTGCTTTTGATTAAAAACATTTAATTTTCACCTTAGACGTGTTATTATAGAAAAATTCGTTTAACATGTATGTAGGGTTGAAATCCAGTTTGTTGTGGTAATGAGTGTTTTTAAATTCTTCATTAGTATTTATTTTGTGATGTTTCAGGTATCGTTTTTAAAGATTTTTTAAAATTATTTTGTTGTAAGATTTTTAATGATTTTTGTTTTATATAGTTTTGTTGTATAGTATTGACGGTAACTTGTCTACGCTTAAATCATATGGTACCTTTATTTTCGGCCTTTTCACGCCGTAACACCTCACCCTACTCGCAGCTAGGTAAACTGTCGCTGTCTGATTGTGAAGAAGTGACACAGCACTCGTGTTTAACTTCTCAGTTATTGTAGCTGCTACTTCATACTGTGTTTTGTTTTATTTAAAATCTGTTTAGTGTTTTTATCTTGAGGCTTAGAGGGCAGTTTTCATTTTGCGATCTTCACTGGTTAAAATAAAATAGTTTATCTACAATTCACAAAATACAAGAGGCACAAACACAATAAAATACTGTTCCTGTCTTGTAAATATAAATTGGTTTACTGGATCACAATTGGTCAGAACAATCATCGATGTACTTTTACTCGTAAACCTGATTTTTGAATCTATATAAAACTACTTGTATTGTACAACAGTTAGTGTAAAATATATATTTGTCGGCCTACATTATTCAAATAACCATTTCCTAAGATGTCTGAGTATTTAATAAATTTCGTTATTAAACGATGGCTGGTTCTCCCGATGTTCATCGTATTATGGATTATTGCTGGTTTGTGCGTAGTTTTTTTTTTACATCAAAGAATAGGCATTAAGAATGTCGCCTCCCTATTCGGATTCAAATGTCTTTTATAAGATGCACTTTAAACGCAATTCAAATCTGAGCGCGTTAAATCTTAAAGACGCGTCTTAAATCTTTAAGACGAACGGTTTGTTTGTATTTATTTTACCCAGAGAAAGCTTTTAGCAGTTATGTGCTCTTAATCGCACATAAAAAAACAATAAAGCGATATTTTTTATATTTGTTTTTTTTTTTTTAGTATTGTAATGTGAAAAAACCATATTGTGCTAATCTGTACATGTTAAATACTGCTTTATAATGTCTAATATTATTCATTATGTCATAATAATGTTCATAAGGAAAATGCACAGTCAGGCACACCGAAAAGCACCCCCCGTTTTCGAACATTGGAACGTGGTTTGATTCCGGTTTTGGACTGTTGTGTGGGTATCCCCAATAGCCACTAAAAAATGGGGGGGGGGGGGGGGTGTTGCCCCTTCTCCTTTTGCGTGGTTTAATTTATCCTCATTATTTTAACAATTTTCTCTAGTGTATGTCGGTTATTGGCTGAAGCATTTTCCGGAGCGCCAGAAAGCTGAGCAGAAATGGAGGGGGGTGTCCTTAAAGGCAGTTTGGACCCATTTTAATTTGCTTTGTTCCAATGAATAATTGTTACTTTCACAGTGTGACTGACTGTATTCTGCCGCGATGTAATGCTTCATAAAGCAGTCTGTGGTGGCTCTCTTGAGATTCTTAGATTCCATGAAGATAAAACATCAGACTCAGACTGCCGCATTGTAAATACATGCTTATAACCAAAAATATTCTTATTTTGCTTTTTTTCTCTTGGCTTGCTTTTGGCTTGATTTAGATTTTTCCTCTACATAGAAATAGCAGTAAAAGGTTTACTTCTCTCCCTCTTCATTCCGCAAACTGATTTTCACTGGTTTTGTCGTCTCTGCATTCTCAGCAGGTAACATCTTTTATTAGATCCAGACCAGGTTGGACGTTCAGTATCTGTTTCAGACGCTGATATCCGAAAAACGCTGTGCAGGCCTGCACCCCCCCCCCCCCTACTGTGGGGAACCTTTATCCCCCTTCCTCCTGACCTAACTATCTCCTCCTTCTCCCTTGTCATGCGGGACCCTAGAAGGCCTCTCAGGGCCAGAGTGTTGATTGCTAACCAAAGTCATGTGCCCAGAGGTGCCAGTGATCCAGACTTGGCACAGATGGGTCCGGTCCGGATGGGGTCAGGCTGGGCTCCGTTCTTGCACGAAAGGTGCGAGATGGGATGTCAGCTGCTTGTTGGGATTTTAACCTTCTTACTTTTGGCCGTTCTCTTCCAGAAGACTTCTGGCTTTTCAAAACTCTGGCAATCGTTAAAATATGCTAAAAACTTTTGATTTGGGTTTGGATGGTACATTTAAGACCATGTCCCAGGTTCTGCCGTACTTAGCCCATTTTAGACTCGCGTATTATGCCCATCAAAGATGAAGGACGTGTCATTATCGCTCTACAGAAAGCAGGGACCTGACTTCAGGAACTCTGAGTCATGGTCTTCAGTTATCCTAGATAATAGGGCTCTGCCATACCGCTCACCCTCTTCCCTTAGCTGTCTTCATACCAGATGGCAAATTGGGGCAGTTCTGCATTCACAGCTCACCTTTCTGGGGGTGTCCTCACCTCCACACTGCACTAGCTGTGTGCGAGTGGGACCTCAGAAGGCTGCAGACAGCAGCACGTGGATCATCCGCAGGGTCAAAGTGCCGATTACCGGCTTGTTGATCACGATCTCATGTGTGGTGTGATTATTTTAAAGCCGCTTTCCTAATGCTGTGAAAGAACGGGGCTTTAGGGGCGTCTGGTGCAGCTCGTGAAAGCAAATCCACTTGTTCCCAAGATCTGAGCCGTCACCGCTGAAGTGGACACTATTGAGGGTGCGGGATTAAACTTTTCACCCCCTGCCGCATGCACTTTTTGATATGCTCACAGTTTTTGTCTATTGCTTGTTGTTTTCTTTGTATTATTCGTTTTCTTTTCGCACCGGGAGCTGGGCAGTGATCAGAGTGGCTGATGAAATCCATGGTAAAGTAAATAAATGGCTAAACGATAAAGGTGGTGGGCAGATGTTCCCCTGGTTCTCACCTGTTCTGTAGAGATGCCTTCTCTCTGCTCAGTTAGGGCTGAGAGTCATAGATATGCCGCCTGGGGGGGGGCATGGTAACCGAGTGCGAGTCTCGTCGTACGTCTTTTGTTGTCTTCTCCGTGTGTGTGTGAGGCTGCTGAGGCCCCTCCATGCTCACCCTACCCCTGGCTTGTTTTTAATTTGCCGCTGGCGAGGTCCCTGTGTGTCCCTGCGCTTTGAGGGTCATCCTGTGACAGCTTCCCTAAGCGCTTTACTGCTCCATTGTCTCAGCGCCAGGATCGAAGTGATTGTGTGAAAGTATGAAAGAGTCCCTGAAGACTGGGTGATTAATCTGTGCGTCTGGGTAGGACTGTTTAAACCACCATCATTTACCTGCCTGACCCTCCACACAAACACACACATACACACACACACACTCATTGTCACATTCTTCTTAGTTGCTGCTGAGTAGCTAATGTGTCTGTGATTGCTGTGGCTTAAATTTGTATGAAATTAGAAGGTTAGGGATAACCAGTGTTCTTGGCTAGATGCCAGTGTGTGTGTGTGTGTGTGTGTGTGTGTGTGTGTGTGTGCACGCATGTGCCTGCAGATGAGCCCAAATGAATGGTGACTGCTTCATGATTGCTGGTCCTCGGGATCAGAGATGCTTAGTGGTAACTGTCGTTGCTGGAGGTAATGATGACAAATGCTTCTGTATGCAGATTTTCTTAGTGGGCAGGCACTGGGGGAGGGGTGAAGCAGGCTGACGCTTTGCAGCAGAGAGGTTGTGGGTGTCCTCAGACAGTCCCGTGTGTGTCATGTGGAGAAAACCGAAAGCTGGCTTTAAATGGGATTAATAAGATCGTGCCTTTCATAATCTTCCCCTTGGGTACCGTACTGAAGAATATGTGTCGTTGTCCTGCTTTGGCTAATTCATAATTCATGTAATTTCATGTCATTTAAAAATGCAAAAGAATCTGAGTCTTAATTGTCTGTGGCGTGTGCCAAAGAAGTTTTGGATCATCACAGACAAACACATACGAAGGAACAAGGACGAGCAGGGAAGGAGGAGCATGCGTCACGAATGTTAGCGGGTTGCTAACGCTCGGTCTGTGTGAAGGCAAATGTCTGCATTCAGGTCTCATATTCATTTACACGTTGATTTTACAGATACTCCTCGACTTACGATGAGGTGACATTCCGATGAACTCATCATAAGTTGAAAATATCATAGGTGGAATATGAATATAATATGATATGACACACTTTGGAATGTCAAGTGGCTTTTATTGTCGTTTCAACCATATACAGTAATACAGTACATAGTGAAACGAGACGGCCTTCCTCCAGGACCATAGTGCTACATATAACACTACATCCGCACAATACTACATAAAGTGCAAGTGTGCAAAAAGTGCAGACATTGCAAAAACAGTGCTACACCAGACAAAAAGTGCAATAGAAGAAATAGAAGAGATGGTAGTAGGTAAGACAAGCTAAGTGTAAAGTGCAACAGTGCAATGGGTTGTGCAAAATGTTACTGAGGTAGTGGACTGTATAAAGGTGTGTGTGTGTGTGTGTGTGTGTGTGTGTGTGTGTGTGTGTGTGTATGAGTCCAGTCTCTAATTGTTCAGGAGTCTGATGGCTTGGGGGAAGAAACTGTGTAGACATAATGGGCTTGGGAAAGTTTGGTTAAACAGAAAAAAGCACCTTATACACTGATACATTGTTAAACTCTGTAGCTACAGAGACTGGAAGCATGGCTGGGTGGATGCTGCCATTAATGTGCTTCACTATCGCTCTATTGAAAAGTTGCAACATTGTAACATGAGGAGCATCTGTATTGTAAGCAGGTTCTTTTATATAAAAAAGTGACGTACAAGTGAGGCAAATGGCGTATTACAAGCATACGCCTGTCAAAGAGTCGATTAGGCATAAGAGCAGATAGGCTGAGCTTCCAGTGAAAGCCCAGGTACGAGTGTAAGCGGTATTGGGGCAGGAGCTACGCAGTGCCATCCAGTAAAGCAAGTATAGATCGCTCACAGGTCAAGTTTTTAATATAAAGAAATCTGAAAACAGCTTGTCTGGGCTTGTTGATCTGCCTCCTCTTTGTTCTGAATTTGAAACGTTTGTCTCTGTTACAGAAGCACCATCAGCGATGGGCCTAATGCAAACCTGACCATAACCTGCAACTGTTCCAACAGAAATGTAACAGATTTGCAAGTCTTTTTTTGTTTGTTTTTTCTTTTTTTTGCTGGGGCTGTTCTAGTCCACTGATCCGTAACAAAGCGCTTACCTCGTTTCAGTAGCAGCCGTGCTCATCTAATTGTTTGCCCTCCTTTTGAGAGCCTTGCCTTTAACAAGCATGTCGGAGAGCAGTCCTGCAGCAGCCGGGCGTAAATCTGATTTTACTGACTGTGTCGAGGGTCTGGGCCAGAGAAAAGAGCAGAGAACACAGACATACACACACACACACACGCCTATTGGCCCCATTTCCCTAATTTGTTGCTTGAGTGGCTCTTGAAAGGAGTCCCGGCTTGAACAAAGACTTCGCCTTTTGTGTGCGGTTTCTGCTCCATCTGTGTCATCTGCTGGTCCGTGCTGTGGGGTGCTGACCCCCCCCCATCCCCCCCGCCACGCCCTGTCATGCCTGCCGGCCGTT